CTTTGAGCAAGAGAGGAAACCCCCTTCTAGAATTGAAGATAAGAGCTATCATGAATTGGTCCAGTCAGCCCCAGTTATTTCTTCAAAAAATGATACTGGTCAAAGGCTTTCTTCTAGAGCTTCTGATAGCTCTTTGAATCAGGCGAAGTTCTTATGTAGTTTTGGTGGTAAAATCATACCCCGCCCCAGAGATCAGAAACTTAGATATGTAGGCGGTGAAACGCGTATCATACGGATTGGCAAGGCTGTTTCTTTCCAAGAACTCATGCATAAAATGTCAGATATGTTCCCTGAAGCACGTACCATAAAATATCAGCTGCCAGGCGAGGATCTCGATGCCCTAGTCTCTGTATCTTCTGATGAGGATTTACAAAACATGATGGAGGAATGCAATGTGTTTGGTAATGGAGGATCTGAGAAGCCCAGGATGTTCTTGTTTTCAAGCAGTGATATAGAGGAGGGTCAGTTTGGTTTGGAAGCCGCAGAGGGTGATTCTGAGGTTCAGTATGTTGTTGCTGTCAATGGGATGAATCGAAGTTCACGAATAAATTCCCTTGGAATAAGTGCTCCCGGGAACAATTTGGATGAACTACTTCAAAGGAATAATGATACTGAGATCAGTCGAGCCGCCACAGAACCAGCATTAGCTTCGGTCCCTCCCTTGGCAGGTAATGAATCTTTATCAGCGAGCCAAACTTCTCAACCTGTAACAGGTTTTTCTACTGGAAATGAGCCACTTTCACAGCCTTATCTAGGACAGCAGTCACACTTCACCGGACTTGGTAACCACCAAGTTTACACGTCAGCTCACATGGCAAGCATAGCCTATAAAGATGAGAAGGGGTCTGCTCCTTTGCATGTTCAATCACAGCCTCATTATGTCCCTTATTCTGTAAATCTTGAAACACCTCTTGAAAGTCTGGTGCCTCAGTACCCACACAAACCTGAGCAAGGAATTTTGCATGAGGAGCAGATCTTTCATATACAAGATCCAGAAGCTTCATCAAAAGAGACCAAAATGAGAAGAGATGAATCATTTCAGAAAAGTTATGATCCTGCTAATGTATCTACTGTTGAGAGCAATCTTTCGGCACAGGAGCCAACAATGAGGAGAGAAGCCTCAAACCCAAGGGTCAGTGACTATACTGTTTCCGCTAAGTCGAGTAATTTGATAGTCCCAGATCACGTCCTGAAGGAAGAAGCTCCAGTTGCCACACAAATATCCAATTTAACACCAGGTCCAAGTTCTTCAGCCTGTTTAGAGAAAAGTCTTAAAAAATCCCAGGACCATGTTGAGAACAATCCTTCTGCAAAGGAGCCAAAGATGAGGAGAGAACACTCCACCCCAAAGGTCAGTGAGTATTCCATCTCCTCTGTTTCTAGTGATTCTATGGTCCCAGATCACACCCTCAAGGAAGAAGCTCCTATTTCCATGCAAATATCCAGTTCAACCCCAGATCCAACTTCCACTGTTTATTCAGAAAGAAGTCTTAGAGCATCCCAGGACTATGTCCCGAAAACAGCTGCCTTAGATACAGCAAGTGAAGGCATGAAAATCAATCAGGACAATCAGTTTTGTCTGCCTGGAGGATTCTCTGCATCTGGGCTGGTTACTTCAGATGGTGATTCATCTAATGTGAGTAATGTCGAGCAGCCTGTGATTCATCAAAGGGTTTTTCATTCTGAGCGCACTCTTCGTGATCCAGCAGAAACTAGTCGTTTGTCGAAATCTGATGATTCCCTTGGTTCTCAATTTGTTATGGCTCAACTAACTTCAGATGCATTCCTGCCTATCAGCGAGTCAGCTGAAACTTTTCCGGAAGCAAATATGGAGTCCCAGAATGTTTACTCTACCGCACCAATAAGACCAACTCCTGAAAGCCTCTGGACAGTCGAGGGTAGTATCTCACAGTTTGAAACGAGAAACTTGGAACCTAATGCGCCGGAGCACGTAAGTCAGCCAGAGACTTCAGTCAAGGCTGTTTCACTAGGACACATTGAGAACGGGGATATAGTTGTCGATATAAATGATAGGTTTCCTCGTGATTTTCTTACTGATATATTGAAAGCGAAAGATTCTCTAAACCTCCCTGGATTAGGGCCACTGCATGCTGAAGGAGGTGGAGTGAGTTTAAATGTTCAGAATCTGGACCCTAAAAATTGGTCGTATTTTCGAAATTTAGCACAGGGTGAGTTTGAGAGGAAGGATCTATCCCTTATGGATCAGGACCACCCTGGATTTCCCACTTCCCTTACTAACACCGACGGAGTTCCTATTGATTATAGCTACCCACCATTGCAGTCTGAGAAAGTTGCTCCAACTCAGTTAAATCTACAAATCCACTTTAAAGGAGATATCCAGCCGGATGTGTCTACCACTGCTGTAGCTGATTCGAACACAGTAGACACGCCAGAAGATTACGGTCAGTCACAGTCCAAAGGTGCTGAAAGCACAGATGCAACTGTGGTACGCTTACTGTTTTCAACCTATATATGAAAATTTTTTAAAAAGTTTCTCTACTGGCAAAAAAAAAAACATATTTCAACTATTTTATAATTTCTATAAAACTTGGGTATGTAGAATACTGGAGTTCCTCTTATTGACCTTGTGGCCGCGGACAGTAGCATCAGGTCTCTGCAGGTATGCATTTGTCAGTTTATGGGTTAACAAGTTAACATGTTTACAAGGTGTTGCATTTGCTCCACAATCGATTACTGAACTGAACAGTATCACATCCGAGGGACTGAATAATTGTTTGGATGATTTTAAAAGATGGCTTTCGTACAATGAAGTATTACTCATTAGTAATACACATATTCTAGCAACGAAGTTATGACTTTCCAATACATGCTTTAGCTGTCTTTTCTGTTTTTGGTATTTTCTTGTTTTAAGGAATTTTGTAGAAACAGCATAATGTATGGTGCTTATAGACTAGACTACAGTAGTTCATATCCCAAGTGGCAGCTGAAATCATTGGAGCTTTAGTAATCTATTATTGTCAATCTTGCTCCTGGTTTTCTCACTGATAGAGAAAAATGAAATGATTGCATCCATGTATTTTTCTGTTCCAGGTCATTAAAAATGACGACTTGGAAGAACTGAAGGAGCTTGGTTCTGGTACCTTTGGAACTGTTTATCATGGAAAATGGAGAGGTACTGATGTTGCTATCAAGCGAATAAAAAGGAGCTGTTTTATTGGTCGTTCATCTGAACAAGAGAGATTGGTGAGCTTTCTTTCTCAAGGAGTTGGGGTGTCTGAGGTTTATATAAGTACATTTGCCACCCCGTGGTTCTCCCAAATCACATTATTTGTCTGCTACAGGGTACTCGTAGAAAACACTAATACTATCTGACCGCAGAACCGAGCTTCTTGTTGTCCGTTTTTCTTTTGCCTGAAGCGGTTATTAGATGATTATTATATGCAACAAGTTGGCTATGCTTGTAGAATCTCTCGAGAAAGTGCATTACTTTAATTTTATTTCCAGTTTCACCAACCAGTGACTGAAAATTTCAGACCTCGGAGTTCTGGCATGAAGCTGAAATTCTTTCGAAGCTTCATCATCCAAATGTTATGGCATTTTACGGCGTAGTGAAAGATGGGCCGGGAGGAACTTTAGCTACAGTGACAGAGTACATGGTCAATGGATCTCTTAGACATGTTCTGCTCAGCAACAGGTAACTATTTACACAGCTCGTCGGGTTCCGTGCTTCCTAAAAGCAACTCTAGCTGTATACCAATTCACATTTGGGAAATTACAGGCAGATTGATCGCCGTAAGCGACTTATCATTGCAATGGATGCAGCTTTTGGGATGGAATATTTGCACTCAAAGAACATAGTGCATTTCGATTTAAAGTGTGACAACTTGCTTGTCAACTTAAAGGATCCTGCCCGTCCGATATGCAAGGTGATTTTCTAGTACAGTTGGAGAACATAGTGATGCAACATTGTCATACTGTTTTGTAATTGTAACAAAGAAGATGCTGGTTTATTCAGGTTGGTGATTTTGGTCTGTCAAAGATAAAAAGAAACACTTTGGTCACTGGCGGTGTAAGGGGAACCCTCCCTTGGATGGCTCCCGAGCTACTTAGTGGCAGCAGCAGCAAAGTTTCTGAAAAGGTATGAAACCTAATGCTCTTAAATTAGTTGTTGGAAGATGAACACAGTTTCTATCAGTTTTTTTTTATTGAATTTTCTAATGTTTCTCCGTGGATACATCATTTACTCACAGGTTGATGTGTTCTCTTTCGGAATCGTCTTGTGGGAAATTCTTACTGGTGAGGAACCCTACGCCAATATGCATTACGGGGCAATAATCGGTAAATTGCCTGTCTCTTCTCTCATTCTCTCTCCGTTTCTTTTCTTCACCTACAAGGTTGTGTCGTACAATTAGGCAGCACATTCAGTACTGGCTTTACAATTTTCTGTAAATCGTAATCAAATGGTAGTGTGAATCTTTTAACCATTTGTTGCTTCTGTGAATAAAAAAAAAAATTGTAGGAGGCATAGTGAATAATACATTGAGACCAAACGTGCCAAGCTACTGTGACCCGGAATGGAGGATGCTAATGGAGCAGTGTTGGGCTCCTGACCCATTTGTTCGACCTTCGTTCCCGGAGATAGCCAGACGTCTCCGTACCATGTCCTCCTCTGCGGCCCAGACCAAAGCGCACGCCGCCAACCACCAAATCCACAAGTAATCTATCTGTTTATTCGTAAAAAAAAAAATGGTTTTGTGTATAAAATATATCCTTTCTGCTTCTTTCGGATTTGAGAGTGTTCGTTTCAAGGTGAAACACTACTGTGTTGATTTGTACAAGAAACCTTAAAAGCACATATTCATATTTGTATAGCCATTATCATTGTTGAGTGTAAGTAAATGATTGGTTTTGGTACAAAGGGACTTGACTCTTCTTTTTTCTGTACTCGGGAGTCTTTCTTTCAATAAATTGTCAATCTATTTTATATTTTTTTTTGACACAAATACTAATTTATACCTTCAAATAGAGAGTACACTGTTTTGCAAATCAGCCTGAATAAAAAGCTGTAGCCAGCTAGGAATTACAAAGTCAAGGGAAGGTATATAAGTTTGCAGCTGATTAGCAGCTCGTGCAAGAACATCTGCAACTTGGTTACTCCTCCGGGGCCGATAAGAAAACTCAAACTCTTCAAACCGTTGACCTAAATCAAGGATCTCATAAACCAGGGGAGCCAAACTCGGCCAAGCAGCAGGATCATGAAGGGCCGAAATGACATCTTTGCAGTCCGAGAAAATGTGAACTTTCCGGTGGGGAGTCTGACTGAGGCATTGAACGGCCCACCGAAAAGCTTCCGCCTCTGTGAAGAGAGCCGATGGGACATTGGGGATGGCCATCGATCCCAATCTTGCCCCTGCTTCTCCACCCACCAGTATGATCCAGCCCAGTCCACAAGATAAACGAGACGCCTCCCACGATCCATCCACTGAACATAACGTCCAGCCTTGTCCTGTCAACAAATCAATATTAAGGGTTAATTGAGGTGTGGGATTAGCCTCACATAAAGTGTCATCCTCATAGGCCAATCCTGCTTTCCAGTTTTCCAAGTCCTCTCGAGCTCTCAGCAGGGATTGTGTAGCTGGCTCATCCACAGACGAAAACAAAAGGCTGTTTCGAGCTTTCCACAACCGCCATAAGATCCAAGGGACTAAAAGCAAGAGGTCTCTGTCTGAGTCGGTGTCTATATTCTCAGTTAAAAAAACTGCAAAATTTGCATATATAGATTCGGAGAAACCGTTTCGGAACAGAGATGCACAATGGGATAAAGACCAGACCAATCATGCGTAAGGACACTCAAAGAAGACATGATTAATGGATTCTTTGGATGCACCACAACGCTGACAACTCGCATCCAAAGCCATGTGCCTATAGGCCAAATTTGCTACCACAGCGAAGTTATTTGACAGGCATCTCCAAAGGAAATTCTTTAGCTTGGGAAAAGTTTCAAAGCTCCAAACCGCGGTGAACAGAGGATTTAAGGTTGGTCCGAAAACGGGGAGATCCAGATTGTTTTCATTCAGAACATGGACTGTAGCCCAGTAGGCGGATTTAACCGAGTATAAACCAGACCATCAGAGGAGGCAGAGCCCAGGCTAACCGAGGTTACAAGCTGAACATCTTCAGGGTGAATCGCGATTGCAACTTTGTTCAGATCCCAGCCTCTTCCTGCTTGCAAAAGAAGATCATTTAGGACCAGGTTATTGTTCACCAAAGGGAGAGCCGATCTGGGGGGTCTTCCCATAGCCGAATGCTCTCCCCTGCTCCCACGACTCTCACAGCCCTCACGAAGAATTGCTTGTGCAGAGAATAAGCTTCTCCAAGCATAAGACGGTCGAGATCCCAATTTTGCAAAAAGAGGGGAGCTGTCTTTGAAATATCTTCCTCTGAATACTTGGGCAAGAAGGGAATCAGGGTGCAGAAGCATTCGCCACAGCTGCTTCCCCAGAAGGGCCGTGTTGAAACACTCGATATCCCTGAACCCAAGCCCCCCTTCTTTTTTCGGAATGCTGATCTTTGGCCATGCAGCCCAATGGATTCCTCTGGTCTCTTCATTCTTTTGCCACCAGAATCTCGCCATAATAGAAATCATCTCCGCGCAAACGGTTTTTGGGATCCTGAAGCACGACATTGTGAAGGTCGGCATTGCCATAGCAACAGCCTTAAGCATAACTTCTTTCCCCGCCTGGGACAAGAACTTAGAGCGCCAACCATTAACTCTTAGGGATAGTTTTTCTGTGAGAGATCGAAGAATAGCAACTCGGGAGCCTGAAAAAGACTCATGGAGTCCTAGATATAAACCACCTCCTCCATCGTTTGGGATCCTTAACCGAATCTTGAGGCTCAACTTGCGATCCGTCGGTAGTTTTTTTCCAAACACAATAGTTGACTTATCCTGGTTGACGCTTTGTCCTGAGGCTACACAATAAGCGTTGATGATGTCCAAAAGATGGTCCGCCTCATCGTTATTTGCTCGGCAGAAGAACAGGCTGTCATCAGCGAATAATAGGTGAGTTATTGCTGGGGAGGCAGCTGCCACCTTTAGACCTGTTATCCCTTTTTGAGATTCCGCTTGTTGAAGGAGTTGGACTAGGATCTCAGAGCACATGATGAACAGATATAAGGTGACATGGGGTCTCCCTGCCTGATCCCGCGAGAAGGCTTGATCTTTCCAAACGGCTGACCATTAATGAGGACAGAATATGAAACAGTTGTGACACAGCGCATGATTAACATGACCCAATGTTCATTAAAACCCAGCGCTAACAAAGCTTTTCGGAGGAATGGCCACTCCAGCCTGTCATAAGCCTTTGTCATATCAGTCTTGATCGCCATAAAGTGCTTGGAGCAACTATCTCTGGTCTTTAGTGCGTGGAGCATTTCGTGGGCAATAAGGATGTTGTCGGAGATAAGGCGCCCTTTCACAAACGCCGACTGCGACTCAGAGATGAGGCCCGGCATAAGAGGCTTCATTCGTCGAACCATGACCTTAGAAATTATCTTGTATGCAACATTACAGAGGCTTATCGAACGGTAGTCAGCAATGGTCACAAGTTTTGTCTTCTTGGGGATAAGACAGATGTTTGTCTCATTGAGCCGATTGTCAAGCTCCCCAGAGAATAATCTATTTTATATATGATGTGATTTTTTTTGGTATAATACATTTGCATAAAATATATGTTTTGATTTATCCATTTTTACTGTGGATTAGTATAGTTCTCTTCCAATCGAAATGCATAATGGATTTGGTAAGAAATTTATATTTTCTTGTCTCTGTGTCTTTCCATTCCTGAAGAGCTTGCCTCAAATCAAGTTTTGTATCTATAGATTTTTGTTGCGGGATGAAACTATACAAAATTTTGATAAACTATACAACATGATAGACATCATTACATACAAACAGGGATAAAACAACACATGCATATATATACACATATGTCATTTATACATAGAAAATTTGACCAACGTTCAAAAGGCTCTCCTGAGGAACATTGAAGATAACACTATGCTCTCTACAAATCTTCCTAAGAAACGCATACACATAATCAATGGCTATCTTCTTGTAGAACCTCGCTTCCCTCCTCGCTCGAACCACCGTGTTTCCCATTATATGCACCACTCCCGCGTCACGACACCTATTTATGAACTCCTGCTCGTCTACTCCACCGCTCATCTGGCTCGACGCCGTCACCGTGTGGCTCACTCTTTTCACCGGCGGCCCTATCGACTCTATCGAGTCAAACGTATCAAACGTCGCCACATTCTCGTCCTTGTTCCAATCTCCGAGCTTGTCTTTAGCCTGATTCTGGCTTCCGCAGATGCTGTATTCATCAGAATCCGAACATCCTCCTTCCATCATGGATTCAAGACGGACAAACAAGAAGAGACTCTCGAAGAGGCGTTTCTCAAAATCATCGTCTTTCTTGTGCAAGTCTCCATATCCATACCTGTTGAACAAATATGGCTTCAACGTTGAAAAAACAGAGGAACATGCACAAAACAGCCAAAACAGAACACGTGGTTACCTTGCTACGCAACGGAACATGTGGAAGTTTTTCGGACCAATTCTTTTAACGAGGAACCGTTCTTCCTCAGGGACGGTGTAAACAGGGAGGTTCTTGACGCATACAAACACCACCACGGAGTGAATAGCCGGAAGATTCGTGATGAAATGAGAGAAAATGTGAGGAACTCCACTGGCTAGCTCAGTGTAAACGAGGCCAACCCCTGGAACACGAACAAGGCCAAGGCTAGGACCAAGTCCTATGATCCAAGCCATTGATACTCTACTGTGCATCTCAAACTCGTACCTCTTCAAAGTTCCGTAGTGCCATACCAACATGATGAGGAGAAAAGCTGCAGCGATCACTAACGGAACCCAACCACCTTGGTCAACTTTAAAAAGCATAGCCGAGAAGTAAGTGCATTCCACGACAAGCGAGAGGATGGTAAAAAGAAGAACAAGAACCCAATGGCAACGCCACACGAGGATCATGATCAGCGTCATAAGCAGCGTTGTCACAAGCATGACGATAACAACTGCTGTCCCGTAAGCGTTTCCTATTTGACTCTGGTTCTTGAATCCAGCAGTGACGGCGATGCAGAGGATCATTAAGATCCAGTTAATGTCTGGAACGTAAATCTGACCGAGGAATTTACGAGAAGTATGGACCACTTTGACCCTTGGAAAACAACCGTGTGCTAGAGCTTGCTTGATTAAAGAGAATGTTGCCGATATTGTGGCTTGGCTCGCAACAATCGCTGCAGCTGTTGCAATGATGAACATTGGCCAATATACACTTCCTGCAAGAAAACAAAAAGTATAACTTAAAAATCCGAGCTTTTTTCAAACAAAGACTGTAGACGAGAGATGGTGATTAATTAACCTGGAATGGAACGGTAAAACGCATCAGCCACATGATCAGGGTGTCTCCTAATGTATGCAGCTTGTCCACTATAAGCCAAAAGAAGGCAAGGAAACACAATTACGGTAAAAGCGATTTGCACTGCAGAAACCGGAAAGTGTGATAAATCAGCGAAGAGTGCTTCGATTCCTGTCATTTTCACGCGCATGGTAAGAAAACAAGAAAGGGATCAAGAACGAGAGGATAAGAATAATAAGAGGAGCAGAATCAGCAAGACTTCTTCTTGTTCTTGTTTTACCTGTTATACTAAGCATAATGCCTCCAAGAGATGTCCAGCGATCTCGACCTCCTCGTTTAAAATACCGGTATATATAAACCGGGGAGAAAGCTTTCAAGACATCAGAGTCGTGTTTCCATATGTTGTAAATACCGATACTTGCTATAGAGAGAAACCAGAGGAAAACAATAGGCGCAAAAAGCCAACCAACCCGGTCTGTTCCGTAATGCTGTACACTAAACAAGCTGATCAATATAATGACGGCAACAAGAACAACAACACCTGTAAGAAATAACCACAAACTTACGATTATTACAGTTTATAGACATCGTATATTTGGGATAGAGTTGAAATTTTATAAATGGTAGTACCATTGCTTATATGAGGAAGGTTTACTCTAAGCCCACCAGCAGCTGAGAGAACTGCAAGAGATTTCAATATTTATTATAATCTTTAAATTCCTTTTCTCCATAAAACTATCAATCTTTGTTCCTCGAGAACACAACCTATAGCTAACATTGGCAGAGCTCATAAGTGCAAGTTGTAAGTAATAACCCTTGATTCTTTTAAACGTAAGTTTAAACAAAAATAAGTAAACTTCAATTTTAAGAAACAGAGCATTTTTCATTTTTTTCATAAAGCATTTCCGTAAAGTGCATATGCAAAAGAAGTTTCCCCTTTCGTTGCGTTCACAGTTTACAAATGAATTTTGACTAAAAATACAATCAATGCAACTGTAACGTGTAAAACGCAAACGCAAACGCAGAACTAACATAGTTGAATAGGAAATGGAAAAGGGCATACCAGAAATGGCGGGAGTAAGAATACCATCGCCGATGACCATACACGTACCGACAAGAACTAAGATAAGAAGTGCGGTTTTCCTAGATGTCCGTTTTTCTAACCACCTTTTGGTTTTGGCAGCAAAAGAATGCTCATGAAACGTAGAACGGCTATAAGTAGTTAGCTCTTCATCAGTACGGTGCTGGTTCCTGATCGTTTTCACTTTTGCATGTCTACATAGTAATGAATACAGAGCAAATGTTCCTCCTACAAAAAAACATTCAAGTTCAAGTCAGTAACACCCTTAACAAACCGAGAGAAAAGCTTGTGATTTGGTTTATATGTATATATACCTTGACCATTATCATTTGCTTTACATACAACGAAAACGTATTTGAGGAGAGGAATGAGTGTGAGTGAATATATGATGAGAGAAAGAGCTCCAATGATATCTTCAGGATCTTTGATCCCATGAGGGAATGTATTGTAGAAAACATAGAGAGGAGAAGTCCCTAAATCTCCATAAACAACACCGAGGCTCTGAAAAGAAAGCTGCAGAAGCAGAAAAGCCGAGAATTTCTGCAAAAAACATGTTTGTTTAACCAATAATCAGGGACAAGAAATCGAAAATGGTTCACATTGGCGAGTGAATTTGTAATAAAAATGAAACCTTTTCTCTGTACATGTTCCTGAGGCGACCAGCTTCTTCATCCATTGATTGATCAAGCTTCTGGTCCAAATCCCACATGCTACCTCTCTCATCACTCTCTTCATCAATCTCACCACCCATTGTTGCTGCTTCTACTCTTGCCGCCATTTTTTTAACAACAAAATTTGATCCTCTCAACACATATAAAACCCAGAAATATCTATATGTATCCTCTCAAGCCCAGATCTTCACAACCAAAATCGGAATTTGCTTCGATTCTCATGAGAATCTTCAAAACAACAAACAGTAAAAGTGGAAACTTTTCACAAACAGGATAGATTTTCCAAGAAAAAAAAGAAAATGCTCAAAGAGGAATGTCGAAAGAGCTACTTCTACCAAAATGTGTACAATTTCAACTATTACATTTACTGCCAAATGGAGAAAGAAAAAACGAATAACAGTAAGATCTTGTAATAACAAGCAGGCAAACAAAATCGGGGAAATGTAATAATCAAACCATCAAAATAAAGAATATGCCATATCAATTTTCCTACAGGAATAGGAAAAAACAAAAACGAGACTTGAAATTAAATAAAATCTAATAGAAGAGTCGAAGAGAAATCGAAAACCCCAGAGAGATTATTTCTATGGAGGATAAACCCAACAGAGACTACAAACCTCTGGAGAGAAAAAAAAATATATTTCTTCGTAAGAAATAAATTCTCAAAGTTTATGGAGCGTTACCTTCCGTGGGTCCTCTTCGATTCAGGACCATCGAATAAATAAATAAAATAATAGAAGACAAAATTCTCTGAATACACTCAAGCAGCTGAAAGTGTTATGTTTCTGGGAAGAGAAAAAAAAGAAGAAGAAAAGGAAAACAAAACACAGAGATATCTCTGTGTTGTATGTTCTCTTTCTCCGCAACGGAGAGTAAAGAAGGCAAATTCTGTTTCTATAGAGACACACAGAGAAAGAGAGAGAATGTACATAATTGTATATGATTCTGATTGTTGACAAAGATGAACGTGGAGAGAATTAATTATTAGCGTTAAAAAAAAAAATCATAGGCTGTTTAAATGTATTGGAATTATCGAACAACTATTTATTTATTATTTACTCAGATTGGAAGTACAAAAATAAAGTACTCTACATTCACAGGGAAAACCAACCAACTTCAATAAATAAATAAATAAATAAATAAGAGATATTTTTATATAATTTCAAAAAATTTAATATATCATTTCCTAAGTTCCAAATTAACTTTAGCTAACAGCACACCCTAGCTTCATTTTAAAGGCATGACTCTTCTTCTCTTTTTTTTCAACGACTCTTCTTCTTCATCAAGAAGAGTACCACTGACTAACTTTATGTTTTTCATGTTGCTAAAAGATTTTATGTTTTTTTTATTAGTTAAGAATATAATGTTTTTAATTCATCACTAATTTCCTTAATACTTTTGATTCTATGGTCATTTTGTGAATATTCATTCTCTTTCTGTTTACAGATCTTTAACATAAAATCAATAGTTGACCGAAAAAACATAATATCAATAATATTCAGGAAAAACCAGTTAGTAGTAATAATCTATCTATATGTATAAAGTATTGTAACGTAACGTTCCTAGAAGATTATTTTGTTACACGTGGTTCCTGATAAGTCTGTTCGAGAAAAAAAAAATTCTAGTGTAACAAATTAAATAAATATTAAAGACTAATTAATCAAGGTACAGTATTCAGTTTTGGATGCTTACTCGTTTTATAGTTTACATGCATATCTCGTTCTTAATACCAAACATGTTTACAAATGCGCCAAAAAAATTTCATAATCTGAACAAACTGTTGATAGGTCTTGATTTACAAAGAAATGAAGAATACATAAGATCATTTATTTAAATATAATGGCGTATTTTTAAATCTAGTATAAGTAAAACAACTTTTGTTAATTCTTTGTATAAGGATAATTCAAGTATTTTCTAATTTGTAATATATATATATATATATATATTATTCATTGTAAAATCTTCACTATAATTTTTTTTGTGCTTCATGTTTTTTTTTGAAACTGGATACGCTTTGTGATTGATAATATAATATAATTCAAGTAAACGTATTTACTAAATGATGTAAGGAGAAAAACACTTTTACAGTTTTGGCACTGCCTTAAGTTGGAGAACATTTTCTTCTAATTAAGTTAACTGCCGCATTCTTTCTAGAAAAAAAAATGATAATAATAAAAAATTAATGTCGCATTTTTTTTAAGTCGCAATATTCTTTTAGTTACTTATTTTAACTCACAATTAAATTTAAGATATAAGTCAAATAATTTTGCCACATTCTACTTTCTTACTTCTTAGTTTAACGGATGCAAAATGGCGGTTTTGAATATATTTATAGTTGTTCAGTTCCTTAAACCTTACGAAAGATTGACCTATATTTATACTAAATAAAAGTTTGACTTATAAAAATACATTGACCCGGTAAAAAAAAACAACTTAGTCCATTTTGGGTAACGTTTTCGCTATATGATCTATCTAGCAGTTGCCCTATTCGGCAACAATAACTCAAGTCCTTCAAAAATTGTGTACCCTACTTTTGAAATGTTGACACTTGCAATAGAAAATGGTATTCAGAAGAACCATAACGAGATCAGTTGGATCCATGATAATTGGTTTATTAACAACTGAAGTTCATTAATCAAATCAAAATCAAACAATACCTTATAATAAATACTTTATTATGTAAATAAAAATATAATTATTTTTGGACAGGGAAAAAACTATTATATCTTTTGCGAAAAGCCATCACATCAACTTAAAGAAAGAAAATCACGATGGAAAGTTGTAGATCATGCAAGTATATATAATTAACCTTAAAAGTCATCATAGTATTTGTTGATTAATTCAACGATTAACCAAGACAACTTTCAATCACGTTATCAATTATAATTGGACCGTGTGACGTCGTAAGACTGAATCAAGTTCCCTACAAGTCTAATCTATCTTGGTTGTATTGTATATTTGTATATATACGTTCCCTTTGTAAGGATTTCATCACATGAGTTTCTTTAAATGTTTCTGTAGAAAAGCAATTAATTCTTAAACATTGAAACCAAGAAAAAAATCTTTAACAAAAAAAAAAGAAATCAAGAAAAATATACACTTATTGGATTATCAGTTAGATATTCAATAGTAATTTTTTTTCTAAGACAAACATGTTATTTTTTTACGAAATCGAGTCCAACTTTCAGATCTGTGTTTTTTAAATAATTTGTTTATACAAGTGTTACATTTCACGTATATTCCACATGCACGTTGCAGTTGCATGCATATATACATTTACGTTATACGTATCTGGCTTACACAACTGAATTTCGAATGGCGTGGCGTGTGCATAATCGTATATATATAGTTCATGAATGGTCCACAGTACCAACCAAAAAAAACAAACTATCCACATTTACGCAAATTTTAATATTATGTAGTTGTTTGTTTTGTTTTGCTAGATGATCGAGATTTGTGTTTTATATAATCTAATGTCATAGAGCAAAGTATCAAACAGTACTGCTCATTTTGCTTAATTTATTTTATTCTGATCATCGGAGCTGAATTCAGACTAATTAATTAGGAGAGTATTATATATATACAGTATATATATTATATATACACACTTATAAAATTGGCCAAGTTTTACTCAGCCATGTATTTATCATCCGATAGGTGCACACACGTGGTTGTATGTTAATTATAAACAATACGACAGCTGGTACGGTTATCTATTTGTTCGCTTCATGAGAACAAACAAATTAACAGCTATATATAAATATATAATATATAAAGTATAAACATAGAGATAGAGAGAGATCAGAGATATTCTAGTACTTACTAAATAAAATTATTTTGGTATAAAAACAAATCTTAAAATAGATCACCCAATGGCCATTTTATCGATAATTGGTAAATTTTCTTTATATTTTGATAGAGATGGAATCCGCGATATTTCATAACCAAGATTGCTATGCATAATTATTTCACACAGAGCTCCGTTTCATTAGAAGCCGAGACTATCTCTTGCTCGATCGGTTCAACAATAATTAGCCTCTCATGACATCTGAAGTGAATACCAATAATGATCAACAAGTCTATCGCTAGCTAGATAAGATTAGTCTTCCCTAATTTTTGTCTGAAAATACGACCAAACATACTTTGAACTTTGAAGAAGGTATTTAAAAATCAAAATAATTTACATGTGTCCAAAATATGTTTGGCCCATGCTGGCAAAAGGAATAATTTCCTAATGAAATTCCGAGACATAATAATTGAAATCTCAAATAATTTTGTAATATTTTTAAATTCCTTTTATTCATGTCATCGTGTATTTATTCATACGTGTTTTCGTTTTCGAAGCTGCAATTAGGTTTGTCATCATATGCGATGTTTTGTATGTGTGGTGTGATGATGGAAAATCACATCGGATTCTTTTATCACGTGGCGCGATTTAAATGGTCATGGATGACCCATGTACCAGCAACGATATCTGAGCATATCTCTAGAACCCAACATTGATACGTATATGTATAAATGATGTTATAGAAAGAAAAAAATATATATATGTATATACGTTTCGTATATAAAACTATAAGATATCGACATAGACGCATGTATAAATCATAAATGCGTCCGATGTGTTTCCTATGAAATTTCTTTATGAAAGAATTTTCTATTTCCTATGAAATTGACGTGCTAGTTATCACTTATCATAGACCATCATACGGATAAAGCTTTCTATTTTTTTTTTGGTAAATGAGAGGAGACAATTGTCTCCCACTTTTATTTAACTAAAAAGAATTATATCCGAACTCGAACTCGACGCGAGCGCTCAGCCCCTACAACATCCTCAAACAGAATCAACTCCAAATTAGACGGACAAAAAGCAAAACTACGAAAACCAACAGGGTAAGAAAAAGCAAGGTTAGCTAGTCCATCTGCAAGACGGTTCGCCTTCCTATAGACATGTGAAAACCGGACTATCCAGTCCCTAGAAATGAAGCCATAGCACAAGCGTACTAGGAAGGACAGGGGGTACGTATCACTTATACCTGTCTGAAAGAAACCCACCACAATCTCCGAGTTTACCTCGATTTCTAGTCTTGAAACCCGATGTTCCCAAGCCATGAACAAACCGTAGTAAACTCCCCAAAGCTCAGCTAAAGGTGCTGAACAGAAGCCAATATTACACGCGAATCCACTCTTCCAATTGCCCTCAGAATCCCTTAACACGCCACCTGCAGTTGCGAGACCTGGATTTCCTCGTGAAGCCCCATCAGTATTCAACTTCATCCATCCATTAGACGGCGGTTTCCATGCTATAAATCTCTCAACTCGCTGTACTTGAATCCGTCCTTCTCCTTGGTTCTCATACGCTAATTGAACCTCACGAGCCACATCCTTAACAAACTTTACCCGATCTCTGCATTTTTTATTCTCGCCGAAAATATCTCCACATCGCCATTTCCACCCCCACCATACTGCCATAGCGAAAAGAGTAGCCCATTCAATATTCTCCACTTCACTCTTCATTCCCAAATTTTCATACACCCATTCCAAAACCGACTTAGAGAAAAACGCTGCATACACGGATAAAGCTTTCTATTGTTGTTGATGAAATCATACGGAGAGAGTCTTGTAACAGCTAGAAGATGTTTTTAAATTAACTATTTATCTGTACTCCACTTTTTTTTCTCTCAAGGTGATTATTAAATAAGGATTAGTCAAATCAGTCATTGGAAGACATGCAATCTTTTCATTTTTCAGCTTGTCGTCGGTTAGATTTCATTTCCGTTTTTTTTTTTTTTTTTTTTTGGGTAAGTAGTTGTAAAACATGTAATCAAATGATGTTTGAATATTTCTTTTCAATGTCCAACATGTACATGTTTTCGGTTTTCAATTTTGTCAAGAAATAATATGGAAAGATATAAAAACCAGATTGAATAATGAAGAAAACCGACGAATCAAAACTATGCTACTATACCGTGGGTTTGATTGATCACATGAGTTTCCACATGTTCATTACATCTTTTTTTTTTTAAGTTACCCGAAAATTAAGTTTCAAGATAGAAGAACAAAGCTAACACGTTATAAGGACAAACAAAGATAGAGGTTGTTTGAGTCAGGTTTATACCAGAAAGTTAACCATTTTCCGGTTACTGTCGTGTTGATGAGCTAATGAACAATTGACCAGTGACCAAAGCATGAAAAATTGATAAGAGAGTATGAGATTCTCTGAAACTTTAACAGAAACTAATTGAAGCTTGTGTTGTGTTCATTTTTATGAGATGTACAGAGTAACAATATATTAAAAAATGGCTATTGGGTCCGTATAAAGTGTGACACTATCAAGAACGACAAAACTAATTGAATCTACAGAAGAAGGATTTCAAATATATCTTCCTTATGAATGTGTTGCCATGCGTGTGCTCTCTGTTTACTTACCGGAAAGGTCCAGCCGAGGGAGCCTAAACATCCGCTTGTGTAAGTCTCAGGGGTCAAAAAGTTAAGAAGGAGAGAGTTCGGGCTCCTCCACAAACCAATAGGTCTCTCCTCAAGGGACAAATATATATATTTGTTTATATGGAAGTGATGAGACCGGTTTGGTTTGTGCATAGACATGAGCAGTTTGGCTCCGTTAAGTTTCTTAGGACGAGGCGTTTGTCGCGGTTACTCATTAGCTTGATGAGCGGTAGCTTCTGAGAGACTTGACGCCAGATTTCCTTTACTGCTCCATTTGGATTCTCATAGTCAAAATACCGTCTTACCTGTGTGCATTATTGCGGGTATGAGAAATGTGACCAAAACATGTAAAAGAATCAAATATTCTAAGAGATTAGAGTTTGAATAGAAGGAGAAGGTACCGATTGCATCTCTCTTTGATACTCCAGAATCTTCTTGGTTTTTATTTTCCTTAGCATCTGAACCAGAAATCCGGGCTCCAGGGCTGCGTTGGCCTCAACAAAAATCGAGAACTTTCTGTAATCTATAACATCTTCGAAAGGTAACTCGATGCTATCGCTTACAATCACAGGCACACATAAACTGACTATGGAGTCGAAGAGTCTGCAAGCGGATGGAGTGTCACCCGCAGGATTAAGACAGAACTTTGAAGTATGCATTCCTTTTGTAGCAGCTCGTCGGTTCTCTCTGGACTGAGTTCCATGTTTTATTGTAACATCTTCTTCCTTTTCAAGAACTTGGAAGAGCAAGTCACGAACTTTTCCACCCTGAAGAGACCCAAAGAAGCAGTCAGAAGGAAATCGAAAATTGTCCTTTTCGAGAGAGACAACTTAATGCGATTTTGAGTCACCAATGCTGTATCTTTTCCACTAATAATAGGATTAACACAAGAGTATAATATATAATCCTTCATCTATGAGTCAAAAGAATTGTATGTAAATGAAGAACTCTCTGTTTCTTATAATTATGAGCTTGTAATGAGTTCCCAGAGAAAACGTTTGTTGCATCTTTACTTCGAAAGGGACTCTTCGTAGCATGTAACTCGACACAGCCATTAAATCACAGAGCTCCTTTGGATCACAAGAAAAGCTACAGATTCACTCTTAACACAACTACCAGTCTGTTAAAGCCATCAAGTTTCAACATATATCGTTATTCGTTAGTCATTTTCCTCTAGAATCATACCGTTTCCTATTCACCCTACACTAGCTGAACAATCTCTTTAGACACCTAAAACCTTAGAAAGCTACAGAAATGGAAGAAACAAACATTTCGAAGCTCTAATCATTCAAATTTCCAAGAAATGAGCAAAGGCGAAACAAACTTACATCTTTGCGATATCGATTTCCCATGAAGAAGAGTAATGTGTTGCGAGACTCAACTCCGATTTCCCCATTGAAGAGATTGACCCTATGAGAGTAAGGTATCACTACATCCTTGACGAACGATCCTTGATCAGGCCTCAGCCGCCCAAAATCCGCCACAAGCAGAACCGCGTTCTTAACCCGGTCCAGGATCCGATACAACGCATTCGGGTCTCCGGCGGGTATCACGTGATCTCGCCCTTCGTTCCTCCTCCACCACTCTTGACGCTCAAGCCATTCCATCAACCCCTCCTGCATCTTCTCATCGCTGTAACCGGATCCGGGTTCGACTGGGCGACCCGCATTCACGATTAAGCTGAGGGAAGAGAACACCGGGACGTAGAAGAGATCAGCGTCGGCAGGATCCATGACGCGGGTAATCGGAGACCCGGATCGATCCACCTCGGGTCGGTTCAGATCCGAGAAAAGGTACCACTCGTGCATATGCTGATGACCCGGATACTTGAGCGTGGCCACGTCATCGACGGGCTTCTTGAGCCCGCCGCGAACGATGGCGTGCTGCTCGATTACACCGTAAGTGAATCTCCGGGGAAGATCGTACATGTAAACCCTAACTCTAGGCTGAATCGGAGCACGTCCCTCGTCATCTTCGTCGCGGAAGAGCTGACGGGGGAGATCGGATGAGGAAGGGAGGGAGCGACTAACGGAGGCGTTGAGAATAACGTAGATGGCGATGACGGAGACGACGGCGATGGCTGCTCGTTTGAGGAGGGAAGATTTACGCGCCATTGGAGGAAGGAGAATGAAGAAAGTTAGGGATTTTCAGGTGAGAGATTGAAGAATGTTACTTAGCTCAAGAGTCAGACTAATGAAGATGACTGTAGTAATTTGTTCTTGCCTAACAGTTACGCAGCTAATTATTTAATTTTAACAGTAGTTATCTGAAAAACGTAAATAACAAATTCAAGCTAAATTATACATGAAATTTGTTACATTTTGCTTTACGTAAATTTATGAAATTACCAAGAAAAATATGCGTATTGGGTTTCATGAATTACAACAAGTACAAATCTAATCTCTCTACATAATTGTTTTTTTTTTGTGGGAAAAAGAAACAAAATTCGTCTCTTTCGTAGAATGTGCTAGTGTTCTTGCTTAGTGATGCTGTTTATAAGAGATGGGACCAGATCTTGAGACAGCAAACCTTGGAAGTGGACTAGGACCTGTGCTGTTCGATCCTGACCCACCTTTATGGCTCGAGCTGTAATCTAACGGTCCAGAACGACGAGAACCACCTCTTGGTTTGTTGTTCTCATTGCTCCTTGAGTTTCCAATTTCCGGTTCGTTGTAGTGATCCTGGCTGTAGACAGAGGATGATGAGCCTTTGAAGTATCCTGAATCCGCAGCTGCTGCGGCACTACCGCTGCTACCGCTACCACGCTGGGGAGTGGTGGAGTTTTTCATGGAGGGAGAAGCGTGGATGAGTGATACTGATGGGGAATGGTGCGGCGATGCAGTTGCGAGCGGTGTGGACGGTGTGTTGGAGTAGTATTGGGTGTAGATTGACCTGAGGATGGTGTATGGTACATGTGATTCAAGAGAGCTTCTTGGGAGGTATGGTGAGATCTCACAGAGTTGGTCTAGGAAGATAAGCTTAGCTACAAGATGAGATCTGCAGAGAACAAGGAAGATGGTATGATGATGCGTTAGGATAAAAATGAGTGGAAGAGGGAAAAGCATCCCATATGTTTCTCTTACCTGTTTGCTTCGCTCCATGAATCTAGCACGATCGATGCGGCGAATTTTACAAAGAGTAGCATTGCGGATTTGATGCTTGCTTCAGCGGTTACACGGGTTTGAAACTCTGCGTCGATGTTTTCAGTGGAGTGATGACCGTTGGAGAGGGGCTGATGCTGCTGCTGGTATTCACGCTGTAACCTCACGTATTCAGTTCCCGCGATGACGGCGCTAATACACCGAGCCAAGCAATGGATGTTGTTGCTGAATCCGCCGGTTTCGATGTTGAAGCCAGTTGAGTTCCAGGCGCTCGAGGTCATGAATGAGGCGAAAAAGTAAGGTAACAAACTCCATGCGTTGTCATTTGCACTTCCTACCTCTTCGAGTATTAATCTAACCCATTCAGAGTCATGATCTCCAGCTGCACCAATGCCATTCGCCACGCCTTTGATCCTTCTGATTTCTTTCTTTTCAGGTATTTCTTCGGGTATGTGCTCAACGATGCCAGTGATCATCGAGTGTATCAAGGATGCATTGTCTTCAAGAACAGCTCCAGAGGCTTCGGCTAGGAGCTCATCAAAAGCCAACGCTTGACCAGCTTCAATACAAAATCCTATCACAGTATCCAAATCCACTATCTGCCTAATAGATGCATCTCTCTCCCCTCTGTCACCAGAATGCATACTTGCAGCAGCCGACTCAATCAATTCCCGGTTTGATCTCAGAGATGTTTCTATGCAGTTTACCAGGGCAGCTGTATGTACTTTCATCATCCTATCCAGCCGGTCTACTCCATAGCCGCCAAATATACGTACAAACGCCTGTATTTCCTTGAGGTCAGTGACCGACTCTGCAAAATACCCTCCAACTGGTCTAGTGCTTTTGAAGTATTTATGCCTCGGTGCGAAGAGGATTCCTGCGCCAGACACATCCTTGATGATGTTGTCCATGTACCAGTTGCACACAACTTCAACTGCAGATCCAGTGTTTTGCTGTTGTTCAGTAGGTTTCTCGAATGAATGCAAAGAAGAAACAGGTCCTGAAAAGGCTTCCGTGAGTAAAATTTCTCGGATGCCTTGAGTTAGGTCCATGCTAACGTGTTGCTCTGCCATATGGACTATGCTCATGTGCCGCCTAATTAAGGACTCCAAAACAGAAGGCCGTTGAAGATCGTTATCAGTTTGAAGTGCAGTCAGTAATCTTCTCTTGAAGTTCCCAAGGATGCATTCTCTCATGTACTGCAAATATTCAATCGCCAAAAAATTTAGTAAGACCAGACAATTAGAGAGAATAATTCTCTTTATTAGAACTTCTTTTTAATGCAGGAGACAAACAATTAAACATGCAGCCTTTCCAACAGGATTAGAACAGAGATTTTGTGAAATTTAGAAGATTGCAAGCTCACCTCCCTTAGCACAAATACGTGGTTTATAACACAAATAGGCTCCATGTCGTTCAGAATTGAACAGAGATTAGTCAACCTTTGAATCGCAGCTTCCAACCTGCCATCACAGAGAGATACTTAAGATAGCGGTATCTAAGGAGCACTGGTTGTATAAAGAAAAAAACAGCTTCAGGCTAGACTTGGGCGCTCACATTTTGATAGACTTATTATTCTCAGGATAGCTCTCATGGCCGGGCAAAGTAAACCCGCCTCCGCCTACAACTCTAGGGGATTTCATTGAAGGAGCAGAAATTCTGGATGCATTATTCAGATACGCTGCAGCTTGTTCTGGAAGAAGCTGTGAAAGCTCAACGCATCAGTCTGAGGACAGTAATCAAATAGAAGATTGCTTTTGTTATGCTATTGATTTTGGGTAGGATTTATGACCTGTGATTCTAGAGCGCCAAACCCGCCTTCTGAATCAAGAATATTTATTAGTCCCTCCAGTCCCCCCATTATTGATTCAATAAGAGACTCAACGTAAAGCACTGCATCTCGCCCGAATTTGGTAACCTGTGCAGAAAGACAAGAAGAAGAGCCTTTCCGTTTAAAAGATGGTGTCACTGATATAAGAAAAATAGACATGGGGGATAAGACTGAGAAAATATGTGATTCACCCAAAAAGAGAAACAAATATATTGGTTTGTTTAAGCAAAAAAGGTGACATGCTAAGGGAAACATTCGAAATCCAAAAGTAGCCAGTGGAACATCAAACAATCAACAATTTGATCTGTCATAGCACAGATGCATATACGATAACGGAGTCAATTCAGTTTCACAATCACTTTCATTATTTATTGCCATATTGAGAATAATATGGTGCCCACTGGGAAGTCTTCAGCACTACTTGATTGCATGCAGAAATTCATTGAGATTGAAATATGGATTTACCTCCTCAGGAATTATTAGCGAAGCGCATTCTGGGAAACTACTAGCCACACTAAGCCATGCACAGCAATGCTGGGGACGTCCTTCTGGTCCAAACATTGTATTTCTGAAAACCTTTTACAACAGTCAAATGTCAGATTATGCATAAGATGACAAGGGCAAATAGTGGACAGTGAACAGCAAGAAGAAGTATACAGTTGTAAGGTGTTGATGGTAGAAATATAATTTCTTCAGACTGCCATGCTTTGATAATTGAGACTCTAACTCATCAACACATCTGCATTGAGAAGACGTGAAATTCTGCAGGATCTTAGTTTCACTGTTTTCCTTGCTAGAAGATAACCAAGTAATGATCATTTAATGACGGGAACAGTACCTGGACCAGTTATATGCAGCATTTCCTTCAGATAACAAGCCCTCCTTCCCGGTAGAAACAGTGGCTTTTTCCAGATGCCTGATGTTTATCGACGATCGAGAAGAAGTCACAATCATCAAAATGGACAACCAATCTTTCCGGAATTCCTGTACAACAAGAGGCACTGAGCATCACAACAAAAGATTGGATGACTAAACAACATAATCTTGTTGGGGCCAGGCTACCATTAGGATTGGAAGACAGACCAAATGGGAAATATATGGAACATGAGTGAATCTACTATCTAGGGTGTATTGATTATCTTTGAAAGAAAAAAAGCAACTATGTTTGACTTAAAATTAGTGGATCTAGTCTAGCTTCCTTACAGATAGGTCACATGTGATTGCAGAAACATTTTCTCCCTGCGGTTTGGGTATAGTTTCAAGAAGTTGCACAATATGCTGGAAAAGGCCTTTTAAGGTTGGATCAAGGTCCAGAGCCACGATTCCAGGAGTGCCCATCAAGTAACGAATCCTTCCAGCAGATGAAGAAAGATATGATAGAGCATAACCTCGAACAGCTGCATTTCAAACAACAAAAACCCTTTCAGTTATCGAATTGTGAGCACCAGTACTATCAGTGAGCTCTTCTCATTGTTTCAATGAACTCCAATGGGTCCAATACCAACGTTTCAAACTCATGTACACAACCAATGTCTGAGGATGTGAAATCTCAAAGTAACAAACCTGCGATGTACTTGCGTACTAAACAACAGAGACGGTCCATTCCGTCCAGCAGAAAGCCAATGGTTGGATCATTTGGATCCTAACAGATAATGAATGATAGATCAGCAATCATACCCAAATTTTGAGTTCACTAAAAGTCAAAGTTACAGTATTGAGAGGCTTTTGAAGTTCAAGCAAACAACTTACTATGTCAACTGGTATCACTCGAGTAGATTTGGATCTTGAGGATGCAATACCAGCGTGTTGAAAATACCATAGAACCTCAGATTGGGTCAAAGCCAATGCAGAGAATACCATCTACGAAAAGAAAAGTAAATAAATCAATCATTGGAAAACTCCAGGGAAGGGAAGAACTCTTATGAGTATAATACTGGTTCTACTGGATAGGAGGCTTTGATCTGTGCAAACATAAAAGACACATATGGTTTGTGTCCTTATCTCCTTAAGAGGACGAGACAGCAATCTTGCAAAACTTTTCATTTTGACACTTTTAGTAGACCAGTGTTCCTAGTGAAGCATTCTGGTTTTTTCTTTTCTTTTCTGAAATTTAAATAGCAAGTGTCCTTTCTCCTTGTTCTTTCTTCATTGGCTTCACTTGGAAAATAGAATAGCATTTTCGCAAAACTCTTCATTTGAGACTTTTAGTAAGTCCTT